GACAGGATCTCTTTATGCAATTCAGGCTGGTCTTGAGCTCATTTTGTAACCCAGGTTGATCTTGAACTTGCAACTCTCCTGCCTTAGCCTCTCAAGTGCTGGAATTATAGCCATGTGTCACCTCACCTCTTTTATTTTTATACTTTTTGATATTCTCTTTAATCTCCTTTTTCAGACTACTGTAGTTTTCGTTGTAAAGGTTTTTCATTTTCATTGTTAGATTGATTCCCAGATATTTCATTTTCTTGGATGCTGTTGTGAAAGGTGTTGTATTCCTAATTTCTTAATTATTCATGTATAGGAATGTGGTTGATTTTTGAGTGCTGATTTTATATCCAGCTACACTACTAAATTTGCTCATTAAGTCTAGAAGTGGAGTTTTTGGGATCTTTTATGTAGAGTAGTATGTCATCTGCAAATAATGATAATTTAACTTCTTTCCTATCCTTAGTCTTTTTCTTGTCTATTTGCACTAGCTAATGTCTCCAGAACTGTATTGAATAACAGTGGTAACAGTGAACATCCTTGTCTTGTTCCTGATTGTAGAGTGAAAGCTTTCAGGTTTTGTCCATAATATGATTTTGGCTGTTTGTTTGTCATAGTTAAGTTTTACAAATTGAGATTAAGATCATCTATCCAGTAGGGTTTTTATCATGTCAGTGATTTTTTTTTTCCTTCCTTTTTTTTTGGCACTGGAAATTGAACGCAGGACCTTGCACTTACCAGGCAGACACTGTGCTGCTGAGCTATATTCACAGCCCCAGAGTTTTTATCTTGTATGAATGTTGGACTTTGTATCTGTTTTTTCTGTATCTGTTGAGATGATCATATGTTTTTTGTACTTGACTCTGTGTACATTTATTGATTTGCATATGTTTAACCATCCATCCCTGCATTCCGGGGATGAATCCTACTTGGTTATGGTGTACAATCTTCTTGATGACTTGCTGCATTCTGTTTGCATCTATCTTAGTAAGAATTTTTGCATCTATGGTCATTAGGGAAATTGGCCTGTAGTTCTCTTTCTTTGTTGGATCCTTCTCTGCTTTTGGTAACAGGGTAATGCTTGCTTTCAGGAATGAATTTGAGGGTATTGTTTCCCTTTCAGTTTCATTAAATGTTTGAGAAATAGTGTTATTAGATCTCTAAATTTCTTGTGGAATTCAGCAGTGAATTGGTCAGTGCCTGGGCTTCTCTTTTTTGAAAAGTTTTATTACAACTTCAGTATCATTGAGTAATATAGAGTTATTTAGAATTTTTATATCTTTTTGATTCAGCTTTGATAATTCAGATATATCTAGGAATCTGTCCATTTTTTTTTTTTCTTTTTCTTTTTTTTTTTTTTTTTTTTGGTACTGGGATCGAACTCACGGGGATAACCTTACACTTACCAGGCAAGCACTTTAGCCACTGAGATAAATCCCTAGCCCAATCTGTCCATTTCTTATTCATTTTCATTGTATTACAGTACCAGTTTTTAAAGTAAGTTAGATGATCTTCTGGATTTCTGTAGGATCTGTTGTACTTTCATCCTTTTTCTTCTTAATTGCATGGATTTGAGTGTTTTCTTTCCTTTTTTTAAAATTTTTTTTTGTTTTTTTTTGTCTTTTTCTTTTATCGAACTCATGACTGCTTGCTTGCAAGGCAGGTGCTTATGCTGCTGAGCTAAATCCCCAGGCCCTTCTTTCCTTTTTTTGATACAGCATTGAAGGGGTTTGTCAATTTTATTTAATCATTCAAAGAACCAGCTCTTTGATTCATTGATTCTTTGTATTTTTTAGTCTCCATTGTATTGATTTCTGATCATTGTAATTGCCTCCATTATATGAGCTTTGAGCTTGGTTTGTTCTTTTAGAGTGTTGAAGTTTAACATTAAGTTGTTTATTTGAGCTTACTCTGTTTTTTTGATGGATGGGGGAGTCTCCACTATACATTTCCCTCCTAGGACTGCTTTCATTGGATCCTATAAGTTCTGGATATTATATTGGTATTATTGTTTAATTGTAGAGACTGTCTGATTCTTCTTTAATTTCATCTGTGGCCCATAGGTTGTTCCAGAAGGTATTTAATTTCCATGTGTTTACGAAGTTCTTATGGTTTCTCTTGCCATTGATTTTCAATTTTATTGTACTAAGGTCTAATACTATGCATGGGTTAATTTCAGTTCTTTTGCATTTACTTAACCATGTTCTGTGAGCTAGTAAATGGTCTATTTTGGAGAATGTCCCTTGTGCAGCTGAGAATAATATGTATTTCTGATCTTATGTAGTAGAACATTCTGTAGACATCTATTAAGTCCAGTTGTTCAAAAATTTGGTTCAGTTCTATATTTCATTGTTAATTTTTTGGCTAGTTGGTCTATTTTGTGACAGTTATGAAAAATGATAATTTGTGATCCCTCCATTTAAAAATATATTGAGAATGAAATGAAGCTGGTCTTTTCTTAAATTGGTATAAAACATATACACAGTGAAAGGCACAGATACTAAGCAGCTTGATGTAGTTTCATGAATTTTGGATAATCAATACCCTATTCAGCATTTTTCTGTTTCCATTGCCATTGAATTGCCTTGGTATTTTTGTTAAAACAAAAAACAAAACATCAGAGCTGGGCATGACGGCATATGCCTGTAATCCCAGCACTGAGAGACAGAGGCTGGAGGATTGCCACAAGTTAGGATCAGCCTGGGCTTACATGGTGGGTTCAAGGGCACTGTATGTCAGGCTGGCCTTAAACTCATAGCAGTTCTCCTGTCCCAGCTTCCTGAGTGCTGGGATTATAGGCATGCACCACCACACCTGATTTGTATACCATCTTTGCTTATAAAGAAAAATACTATGTCCATTACAACCCCAAAAAAGCTGAGAAATTGATTCTACAATTTATATGGAAATACACAGAATGAGAATTGACAAAATATACTGAAGGAAAAAAATTGAAAATCTGTGTAATTTTAAAACTTGCTAAGAAGATACAGTCATCAGTTTGGTAATGACATAAGGATACTCAATAAATGAAACAGAAGTCTCAGGGATAGATAAAAACTATGTGGCCAGCTGATTTTTTTTTTTTTTTTTTTGGACAGAGATGTAACTCAAGACCTCACACTTGCAACTTGCAAGGCCACTGAGCTAAGTCCCCGTCCTGATTTTTTTTTAAAAGACAAGGTCTTGCTATATAGTGCAAGAGACTTGCAGATGAATTAGAGACATGAAGTAGCCAGGAGGCTTGAAGGATGATGAAAATCTGAATGAGATTTTGTTGTCTTTTGGAGGTTTGACCTTTTCATTTTTATTTTTTTATTAGTATCAGGGTCGAACTCACAACTCCATGCTTGCAAGGCAGGCGCTTATGCTGCTGAGCTAAATCCCCAGCCCGTGACCTTTTTATTTTTATTTTACATTTATTCATTTATTTTTTTTAAGGCAGGGTCTCACTATGTAGCACAGTCTGACCTTGAACTTGCTTTTGTAGCCCAAGCTGGTCTTGAACTCACAGTAGTCTTCTGCCTCAGCCTCCCAAGTGCTGGGATTACAGTGTGTGCCATCACACCCAGCTAAGGGTACTGACTGAACCAAGGCCATCACACTGAACTACATCCCCAGCCTATCTATTTAGAGACAAGAGTCTTACTAAGTTGCTGCATTGCCCAAAATAGGCGTAAATTTACAATTCTCCTGCCTCAGCCTCCCAGAATACTCCACCCTGCCTGGCTTTATTATAATTATTGTTTTGTTTTGAGAGGTCTTGGGTTATAGGTCAGGTTATTCTTGAACTCATAGTCCTCTTACTCTGCCTTCCCAATACTCAGATTATAACCAAGCACCCCACTTCCCCAGCTATATTATTGTGGTTTTGAAATTATTTTTCTAGGAATTAGACTATGCATCTTATTGTGATTCTATTTAGAATTAATATACCATTTGTGTTAAATATACAAAAACAAAAACAGTAAAGCTGTTTGTTTCTCATCCTTGATGATACTCCTAATGATATATTTTACATCTACAAGACATGTTTTTTACTCTCAATACAATGTTATTTTTGCTTTAAATAATTATTGAAAAAAAATTTTTAAAGACAGGGTCTTAAGAACTGACAGAATAATGGGATCCAAAAAGTATAATAGATATTGTGAAAGTGAAAGGAAAGGAAAGTGCTCTAAAGGACATAACAGTATGGATAGTGTGTAAGATAGATGAGATGACCAGATTACTAAATTTCTATTAGATCATTGAACAGAAGAGATTGCACTGTCAGTGTTTGAGTGTCTAGCCACATTTTATGCTTTGATTTTTGTAACTCTGACAACTATTGTTAAGATGATAATATGTAATGTATCAACCATCAATTTTATGATGTTTTTTGAATTCTGTATTCTACTTTTTTCACATTTTTTCTATTTTTTAAAATTTTCTTTCTTTAAAAAAATAAAACATCTTGTTAACCATGATAAATAGAAAAACAAGAAAAAAAAATAAAGACAAGGTCTTGCTGTGTATTTCAGGCTGGGCTTGAACTCACTATATAGTTCATGCTGTTCTTGTTGTCCTTGAATATTTCTGCCTCTGCCTCATGAGTGCTGGGATTTCTGATATGTATCACTATATCTGGCTGAATTTTTTTTTCCCCCTTGATTGAACCCAGGGCCTTTGCTTGCACTAAGCTGTGCCTAGTCCAATGATGGCAAACTTTCTAGACATTAAGTACCCAAAATGCAACCCAAAAATTACTTACATGTCAAAAGAGCTAGGGTCTCAGAGTCTGAATCTTTCTCGTTTTGTGCAACAGCTGCTCATTCTAGAAGTAACTAGGGAAATGTTGGGAGTTTTGTCTTTTTTCTTTTGACTATTGCCTGTATTCCTTTCTTTTCTTTCTCATTAGAGTTTATTAAGGAGAATCCAATTATTTGGAATTAACAGTACTGTTGAGTTTTTGTGTTTTATGTTAAGTACTTTCCTACTATGCATTTTTCTTATATGTTTTCCATTGTTTTTAGGGAGACATTAGAGAAGCAGATGTTTACTGTCTGGTGGCAGAAGATGTTTTGGCATCGAGAAAACCGCTTGGCAGAGAGAATAGTAAGCGGCTGTCTCTGAGGAAGTACCTGGAGGGGTAGGACCTGTTTAAAGCCCCTGTCCTCACTGTGTCCCCCAGCTTAGAAAGTTGCAGGAAACAGCCAGGCATGCTGGTGCATGCCTATAATCCCAGCACTTGGGAGGCTGAGGCAGGAGACTTGTTCTGAGTTCCAGACCAGCATGGATTACACAATGGCTGAAGGCCAGCATGAACTAACTGCATAGTGAAACCCTGCCTCAAAAAGACAAAAACAAAACAAACAAAAAAAAGAAAAAAAAAAAAGGTTGCTGGAAAACCATCCCCACAGAGCTGAACCGGACCTCCTGAGCCAAGAGTAAGGTCTGCATAACTGTGGTGTTACTATTGGAATTCACTGGTAGCTTCTGAGTCAGAGCACCTCCTTCTGAATATCCATTTCCTTTCAATCATTATTGCTGGCCTGAAGATTCTTCCCTGACTTCTCTACCTGCCTCCTACTTGTCCTGTTCTGTTCTCTTCTTCCTACCCTGCCTCAGGCCATCCTCCAAGCAGAAGGGCAGCTTCTGCGTAGGTTCTGGTCCATGTGGCACCAGCGGGCAGCAGCATGTCACCAGGAGCGAGAGTGGGAAGCAGTGGCCTGTGCCCAGCATCACCACAGACAGCTCAGAAATGCTTTCTGTGTCTGGAAGCAGAGTGCCCACGGGCTCAGAACAGAGTGAGTGGATTGTTCTGCCTCAGAACCTTTCCCAGCCCACGCTAGCTTTGACAGCAGCAGCCATGTCAACCTCAATGGCCTGTCCAGAGGGTAGTGTTACATTAGACTGGTTGTAAATTCCAGATATTTAATCTGATATGGTCCAAGTAAAACTAAAGCCATAGTGACAGCATCTTGGTTACCTCATGGCTCTCCCAGTCTTTGTACCTCAGCTGGGACAGAGTACTTGTGGATCTGGAAATTCCTATCTATTGGCCACATCCTGTTTATGGTTGGGGCCCATTTGAAATGACCATGACCTTGCCCAGGGAACAGGCTGATGGGCCTGTCTGAAGATAGCTTGCTATCCCAGGACTGGTAACTGGCCCCTGGACAGGTTATAGCATTTTTTACAATACCATGGGGCTGAAAGGAGCAGGGTAGGCATGTGTGCACTGAAGAGACCATGCTGTTTTGGTCCCTTTCGATATCCATTGTGAATACAGATTCTCAGTATTCTAAGAATCTCATTGCCTCTCACATCCTAGTCACATTCGACTTTTTCAGTGGGGGGCATCAACATGCCTGCTGCTAGTTGAAGCCCCATAAATTTATGTGTAAAACTTTGTAAGTACACTCTTGTGCTCTTCAGAAATGAGCTTGCCTCTTCCCCAAAAATCATTTATGACTTACTGGGAGCCAGGGACCATGAATGGCAGTTATCTGGATGCTAGTCTGGGCTGCAGTGCTAATACTTATTTGTCTCCCTGCAGGAGGATGAGCAGGGTGCAGGCTGCACAGTTCTACTCAGGGTGGCTCTTGCGCTGGGCCTGGAGCAGGTGGAGGGAGGTAAGGCTTCGGCGTGGGCACCACCCAAGTGTCGCTTTTGAATAGGTGGAGTTGTGTATCAGTGTGACTCAGAAGACAGATAGGCTCCTAGGCAGAGCCTTGGAAGCCTCCTGCATCTGAGCTGGGGGAGGAGGGCAGACAGCAGATAAGAAGCGTCCTCGCTCTTGTGCAATGATTTGCTCAAAACTCCATGTTCTTTTAGGTGCTAGGCTGTTCTTATCTGAACTTTCTGAATGTAAAATTCCTCAAATAATCTTTACAGGAATCCTACTGAATATATAAAATTTTAAACTGACATTGATCAGCATTTACTGTATATCAGGCATTTGCCTCATTTGATCCTCAGAAAACATTCTGTAGGATGTAGCTGTAGATGAGGAAACTGAGGCTTATATAAGCCCACACAGAGTGTAAAATAGAGGCATACCTAGAACTAGCCTCCTCTCATCGCACAGTGGTTGTGCTCTCCTTCCTCTACAGAGCCTGGCCCTGCAGGCAGCTGAACAACAAAAGCTGATGCAGGCTGACCTGCACAGCCAGCATGCTATGCTGCGAAGAGCACTGCGAAAGTGGCTGGTAGGAGCATCTAGTTCCTCCACTAGATGGTGGGGCCAGCCGGCTGGGGTGGTGGTGTCTGTCTGGAGGCTGCTTCCTTTTTTTCCAGCACCTTCCCTAGAGTAATCTAACAACCCTAAAATAGAGCAGCTGGCCCAGACCACGAGTTTTATAGCCACAGATTCCATCAATCCTTGCTGGGAAAAGTGAAAAAAGTAGGCACCAGCTTTATAGGAAAAGTAGCACCACAGAGGTCTGCCTGGCACAGGTGGCCTCCAGTCATCATCTTCCACAGGCTTACCAGAGCAGGGTGAGGAGCATCCTACAGGAAGCGGCAGTCAGAGAGAGCAAGCACAACAGGCAGCTGATTCGGTGAGTCTCCATGTCTCATGGGGTATAGGCTAAGAGAGGAAGAACAGTTCCAGAGCTTTGTGGGGAGTCCTGTCTGGCTAGACAGAGGATGGGCCTGAATTCCTTGTACTACTCATATTGTGGTTTTGGCTTTTTCACAGCAAGCACTGCATTTACCTGTTCACTTTAGCATGTCTTAAACTCTTGCAGTGTATAGGGCCAGCCTTGGAAGGAGAACATGGATGCCTATAAGGCCTCCCACCTTTCTTACTCCTCTGAGTGCTTTTTCCTCCCTCTTGCCACTTGCAAGTTTCAACCTCTAGACACATTGTCTCCTCTCCTGCCTTGGAACCTTCAGTGTGTCCTTTCCTGTTGCTTCCCAGCTGCTTCCCTTGCAGCCTTCTAGGACCATTTGTATCTCTCAGTCCTTGGAAGGCACTTGTGGCCCACCTTCTATTCTTTGTAAGCCAAGCTCTAGTGGTCCTTCCCAGGAGGCCTCTCTCTGTTCTTTTTTTTTCTTTTGTTTTTGTTCAGTACATGCTATTCTGGATGGCATGTGGAAGTGAACCTTAAATACTTTAAAAGCCTCTGTTCTTCCTCTGGGGTTCCATAAAACACCATTTGGTCCTTTGGACAACCGGGAGTAAGAAGGGGCTTTCTCCAAGGTAACTCCACAGAAGCATGTGCTTGGATTTGGATGACCTTCCCTCCAGCTCCCCTGTCTCTCTGTACCTCTCTTACCAGCTGTGAATCACCTGTATTGTCATTGCCTGATTGTGGTTGTGGATCACATGAACTCAGGAGGATGTTCTGTTAGCTCCTGTGTGTTGCCAAGTCCTTGGTCATCATCCAGTGACCAGCACAAATCCTAAATACTCAGCATCTGTTTCATAGAGACATGAGCATGAACTTGGCCATCAGGGTAGTGGATACTTTGAGGCAGAGTCCTTACTTAGGAGTGGGACAAGGACAAGAAGTGATTCATAGAAGCTACCTACATCCCTCTATACTGGGTCACTTGCTCTTATCTGGCCCATAAACCTCTAGGTGGGCGTTACATTGCTGGAGAAAGAACACTGAGGCCCGTGCAGATGAGGCCAGAAAATCCTCTCAAGCATTCGCCCACTACAGAAGGACCATGTGTTCCAAGGTGAGGTACAGGAAGATAAACTAATTACTCTGGGGGCTTGGAGACCATGAAACAGCCAGGGCGTGGGGGCAAAGGCTGGTGCCAGAGAGTAGCACTGAACAAGGAACCCAAAAAATGAGTAACTCTCCTGCAGCACACTTACCTAGATCCATATCTGAATGTATTGTATTTTTATTTAATCTTGAACTAGTATCCCTTAAAATAAAAATATGCCAGCCAGACATGATGGTACATGCCTGTATCCCAGCTCTCTGGAAGCTGAGGTAGGAAAAGTATTCAAGCCCAGCTTGGGCTACACCGTGAATTTAAGGCCAGCCTGAACTACATAGCAAGACCCTGTCTCAAAAAGTAAAATAAAAATAAAATCATGCTACATAGCAACTGAACTGGTTCGTATCAAAACCAGTATTTTCCATACACAAGAATCTGTCTGCTGGGAGAAAGTAAATTACTGGGTTCCCGTCTGATCTGTCAGAAGAGGATGCTGGTTCTTGCTCACCAGTCTCACAAGATCCCACAGCCACAGGCCCTTTCTAGGAGATACAGAGTTTCCCAGAAAAGTGAGATCCTTCGTTGTCATGAGTAGGAAATGGCCTCAGACCTCCACCTTGTTCCTTGACTGGAATGGGTATAGGGAAATGGCACATGGTAGAATCAGTCCCTTGCTTGGGGGCAGGGAAGGTTGCAGGACATGGTTATGGGAAGAAAACATACTAAAGAGAGAGTTCAAACAACTGGGCTGACAAAGGTAGTCCTGATCCCCATATGTTTTAGAGGAAAGCAAATTTCCAGGAGCCTCGAGTGGTACCAGTTTACCTGCTGGAACACCAGTGAACACCAATGAGACTGAGAGTCATGAAAGTTCTGTGGAGGAGGAACAGCTGCATCTGATCAAGGCCAGTCTGTTCTCAGGAAAGCTTTGAGGCCAGCTTGTATTTTCCTTGCTCTGAAAGGAGGACGGGAACCTGCTTGCCTTAGGGCTTGGAAGGAAAGAGTTCCCCACCCTTTTGCAGTATTGAGGAATTGAACCCAGGGCTGTTCTACCACTGAGCTACATCCCAGGCCTTAAAAAATTTTAGACAAGGATTTGCTAAGTTGGACTGAAACTTGGAATCCTTTTGCCTCAGCCTCTCTGAGGAGGCCTTTTTGATAGGAATGGAGTTCATTACTGTGTGTGGAATGGAAACCAGGCTGCCTGACTTTTTAAAAATGGTTTTTAAATAGGTTTCATATGTATCTCATAGAAGAATGCTGTTAGCTTTCTGTCACTGACAAAATACCTTAGAAAAATAACCTAAAGACAGGTTTATTTTGGCCCATGGTTTCAGAGGTTTCAGTCAGTGGCCAGCTGATTCCATTGTTCTTAGGCCTGTGATGAGACAAAAAGATCACGGCAGAGGGAGTGGTGGAGGAAAGCTGCTCATATCAGGGCAGCCAGAAAGCAGAGGGAGAAAAAACTAGAAAGAGAGAGGAGATAGGACAAAATATAATCCCCAAACTGGGTGTGGTGATGCATGCCTGAAATCCCAGCACTTGGGAGGCTGAGGCAGGAGGATTGCTCCAAGTTTGAGGAATGTATAGTGAGACCCTGTCTCCAAAAAGAGATTCTCCAAGATCACACACATTCTTTTCTACTATGACCACCTCTTAAATTTGCATTACTTCCTAACAATGCCATCAAATTATGAATCCATACATGGATTAATCCACTGAAGTTAGACCCCTCATGATGCTGTCACCTTCCAAAAGCTCTATTTCTGAAAACATGAGCCTTTTGGAGACACTTTAGATCCCAACCATGGTGAGTACATATATTATACATTCTGTTTAACAAATAATAGAATGAAATCCCATGTAATAACTTCTGTGTTGTATGGCATGATATGGACTTTTTATCAAAATCTTTTTCTTTTGGGACCAGGAATTGAATTCATGACCTTGCATTTGCCAAACATGCACTTATGCCATTGAGCTATACCCCTAGCCTATCAAAATCTTTCTGATTGAAAAGCACCAGTACAGGTTATATCATGTATAGGTACAAATTCTCTATGATGAATGTGGTTATTATATATACAGAAAGTGTACACATAAATCTGATTAAAAAAGAAAACAAAAGCACCAGTACCTCAGTACTTTGTGGGGAGGGCCCTACATCTCTTGTCAGTGGGATCTGCTAGGTGGTCTTTGTGGATGGCAAATGCTTTCTGGAACAAGTGTGAGACCAGAATTTTAACCACTCACCTTCACCTCAGGAGGAGCCTGAGTACCTAGGACAGGGATGGCAGACCTTTCAGAGTGCAGTGCTAAAGCCTGCTGCAGCATGTGTGCTGTAGGTTCATCACTCACTGAGGTTGCCCCCAGAAGTCAGGCTGTCGGGATCATCTCCCTCTTCTTGCCTGACTGTAGGTACTGGTTCAGTGGCAGGAGGTGACATCAATGCAGATATACTACCGACAGCAGAAGGCCTGTGCCCTCAGGGAGGCCCGGAAGATGCTAGAGAAGGGTAAGTGGGGTTCTGGGAAGCAGTGTTGAGAGGGACATGAAGGATACAGAACTGTCCTGGGGTTCCCTATGTTCCCCACAGTCTGTCTTCTCTTCCTGTCTCCTGGAGAGTTCCCCATCCAGATATCATCTTTACCAACCCTTTCTGTTGTCTTGAAAAGAAACCTTTCAGGGCCCAAGAAAATTCACCAAAGGAAGAATCTGGTGTTACAGAAACAAAGTGTAGAGCCAGTATTTGGGACATGGTATGGCACAGACTGGCTTCTCTGACTGAGCCTTTGTCTTCTTCTCAGTAAAATGAGGCTGCTTCCTCTTCCAAGCTTCCGTTCCAATAGGAGGGTCTGTCCTCCCTCCAAGTGCCAATGACTGTGTGGCTCTATGGCCTGGCACACCTGTGGACGGCTTGTGGCTCTGGGAGACTCCTAAGCAGGCACAGCAGTAAACAGCCTGTCTGGTTCCAGTCCTCAGGGTGCTCCTACTCATTGAAGATGGTCGTGGCTAAGTTACCCATCGATGGTCCATGTGTAGAGATTTTACTCATAGAGGGCTGGACATCCCATCTCCATCCAACACAACCTTCTCTGCTCTCTAAACATTCCTGTTATAATGGAAATCCTACAAAAGACAAACTCTGGCTTGCATCTGTCATAGGTTGTCTCCGCACATGGTTTCAGCATTGGCAGGATCGTAGCCAGAGAGCTGCCCAGCAGAAAGCCCAGTTGGAGAGGGCAGTCCAGCATCACCACCAGCAGCTGCTGCGGGAGACAGTGGCACATTGGAAGATGTACCATCTGGGGTGTGTCAGGAAAAGGGTGAGGTGGCAGGCAGCTGCTCCAGCTGCTTCTCCAGTGGCAGGGGGTATCCACACCAGGAGACCACCTCTTGGGGAACATCTTTCCAATAAAACTCATCACCCAAGATGACATCTGGCCATGGTAGGACAGTTTGTTTTGGCTAGAAGCCTCATTCTGGGGCTACTCCAGGTGACCTGGGCTGGACAATAGGCCAGGATGCAGGGTGTGGCTGACTTTTTGTGTGCATTCTGTCCCCCTAGATCCTGCAGCAGCAGGGCACCCAACTCTTGGTGCAGAGACTCAGCTGGGCCTGCTTCCAGCAGTGGAAACAACAGGTGGGAGCCTTGTGACACAGGTTTCTTTTCCCAGTGGCTCAGAGGCCTGGCTGTGGGTGAACTCAGCCCATACTCTAGTTGATTCTTTACTTGGCCTTTTTCAGAAGACTCCCTCCCAATACCTAACTCTCCAGTCATTTCCCACCACCGTCAGCTTTCTCCTATCTGCTAGAAGGCTGGTCACTTCAAGGCCACTGAAGGTCTTAATAAAAAGCCAGATGAGGCCAGGCTATCCCAGTACCCAGGAGGCTAAGGCCAATCTGAATGCCATAGTGAGACCCTGTCTCAAAAAACAAAAGCCACAAGGGGTCTCACATTCTGCAGAGCAAGTGCATGGTCCTTCCTGCTGCCCTTGCCAGAGAGCCATCCCAGCTCTGCCCCCATCTCCCTGAAGCATTCCTCCATGAGCCCAGCCTGCTGGCCCCACTTGTTCCTTCCTTTGCTTTCCTAATATCACTCTTTGATCCACAAAATCTAAGTGTATTGAGCACTTCACAGCCAGGCCTGGGGCTAGGCCCTTCCAGGTGGAAGGAGGGAAGCCTCTGCTAGAGAGCGGTAAGCTGGGCAGAGTGAACACTGGGCCACGAGGCGAGGGTGACCTCCCGAGTAATCCAGTCTTTCTGGCTATAGCTAGTGGCCAAGAGGCTGGAGCAACAGAGTACAGCAAAGGCCCTGTGGTTCTGGGCTTTCTCTCTACAGGCAAAGGTAATGGGAGTCCACATCCTGCTGTTTCTGCTAGGGTGGGGGGCAGTGGGAGAGAAGGTATCCACTTGAGGGTGGGTAATGGCCTATCCCTGGGGGAGCCCTGAGCAGGACATCTGATCCTCACTTGCTGTCCTTTGAAGGCTTGGGCTGCATGGCTGGGCTTCATGCAAGAGAGGAAGAGGAAGAAGGTCCGGCTGGAGCAGGCTGTGCAGGCCTACCACCGGCAGCTCCTCCAGGAGGGCACAACCCGGCTTCTGTGCTTCACATCCAGCATGAAGGCCTTCCGGCAGCAGCTGCTGGCGCAGCAGCAGGTCCAGGTAGGCCCAGGTCCCCTTCTTGTGAGGAGAGGGCAGGGCAGGGCAAGACTAGCGCTGACAAGCTATATTGCAGGCAACCCAGAGTCTTCACCGTATAGTCCGCCGCTGTGCTGAGATCTGGAAACAGAAGGTGCTGGGCCCAGGCAGGGAGTCTCAGCCCTTGGCATCCATTGCACCTGGCAGGAGAGTGACGTTTGAGGGTCCCCTTCTTGACTTTGTTGCTACTGGAGCTGGGGATGCCACTTCGGAAGCCAAGAAACTACAAGCTCAGCAGCCTCGGAGAGCCCCGGGGAGCCTGACACTGGCTGCTGGGGAGCCCCAGCTTCTGGAGCTGTGAGTAGCTTATGCTGTGCCTATTCCTCTCGGTGCCCTCCTGGGACAAAAGCTGTGACAGTGCAGGTGGGAGGAAGGTGGACCCTGCGAGGGGATAAGATGGGCCAGTAACAGCTTTGTCATAGCCAAGTTGCTTAGGACTCTTCTCAGGCAGGATCTCATTCTGCCCAAGGTATATGGGAGAAATGGAGTGGGTTTCTACACCCTTTCTTAGGAAATGGGTGTCCCTTTCTCTGTAACACCTTTCTGCTGTTGGGTACAGGGTGTTTCCAACAGGCCTGGGCCCCTGTCCCTGCTGTCTACTCCCTATCCTTGGCAGCTAAAGGTCTCAGAGGCTGCTACCCTGTGACATGTTAGGGACACTTATGTTTCTAGGCTCAAAGTACCCATGGGTTAGGCCCCCACACTATCAGGCAACCTTTAGTAGGACTACTGGAAGTTCTGTAGGCCCAGGTCCTCCCTACATACTTGCTGACCTTGGACAGAAGCATGCTTTCGCTTTCATCTTTCTACAAAACTGGCCCTCTGTAACCCCATCAGCCAGAGGAATAGACCCCACATTTCTTCCCAGCAGTGCTGCCCGCTCAGCAAGGAAACAGCCACGACGCCCAAGTTTTCTGCTGGAACCCATGCAAAGCCAAAGGTCCTCAGGGCATGGCACACTCAAGGGGCAGGGGTAAGTTATGTGGTCATGGCCCCCAGACATGACACCTCCACCCGGGACCTGTATTTTGGTGACCCGCTTTCCTTCCTGAATCAGTGCAAAGAAACCCAGAGAAAGGTTCCACAGCCTGTCCATCATCTTGCCTTCCCTCTGTCAGGCCTGAGAAGCTTCAGGAACAAGGCCAAGGGCTGGCCTGGCCAGCAGGCACTTCCCTGACCAGACCCTTCTTCACTGGGGCCCTGCCAAGTAGTCCTGGCCTGAAGGTACCTTCTGAGGCAAGTCCAAGCCCAGAGCTACTCCCTCCTTCCTCCTTCATGCCGCTCAGGACAGGAGCACCAGCCAGGGTAAGTCCTCTGCCTCCAGGCCTGGACAACAACTCCCACTCTTCGCTCTGACCTTTCTCATGCCCTTGCACTGTACCCATTGTTTCTGGAACATCCTAGCATGAAAAGACACAGGAGGCCTCATTCACTCAGTAAATGTAGGTGCCTCTGCATACCCAGTCTGAGGGACACCAAGAAGCTTCTTGTGACAGGACAGCCAAAGAAGGCTGTGTGTAGGGGGCTGGGGATTTAGCTCAGTGGCATAAGCGCCTGCCTTGCAAGCAGGCAGTCGTGAGTTCGATCCCTAGTACCAATAAAAACGAAAAAGACAAAAAAAAAAAAAAAAAAAAAAAAGGCTGTGTGTAAACTCACACAGTGGGTCAGGCAGGGCATGGTAGAAGGTGTGAAATGGCAGAGGAGGAAGCTGCAGAGGACTCTTAGCAGGAGCACCCCTTCTGGTCTCTTAACAGTGCCAGTGCCAGGTGGTCGGGCAGTTGTGAGCCACATGATCCACACAAAAGGTGCTGTCGTAGTAGCCTTGGCACTGCAGCCAGTCACTATGGGTTGTACAGATCACGTGAAGGCAGGCGAGGGTATGGAGAAAGGGAACAGAAGGAAGGTCTCCAGGATGATGCATAGGGCCTGGCCTCAGTAACCCAGGAAGGATGAGTTTTTACTGATAATAGGAAAATGGGGGCCGGGGTTTAGCTCAGCAGCGTAAGTGCCTGCCTGGTGAGCACAAGGTCTTGAGTTCAATCCTCAATATCAAATTAAAAAAAAAAAGTGAAAATAAGAAAATGGAGTAGGGCTTGGTTTGGAGGAACGCTGAAGAGTTCCTTTTGACCTGATCAGATAGCAGTTTGTTGAATCCCTGTGAGCTACTGAGGTCACCCCCAGGATGAGAACATAGAGGGACAGCAGACAGGCTGATGCAGGGGTGGCCAGGGACTGAGGCTACCCAAGAAGGTGGTAGCTAAGGAAAGTGCGATAGGGACATGAGTGAGCTGGTTCCTCCCTAAGTGTGGCCGTGGTGAGCCACCACTACCCAGCCAGAATGGGGTGTGGGGTCAGAAGGGTTTTTTCCCCTTGTTATTGGGAGCAATAGAGTGGGGTGGTCTTAGAAGGGGCAAGTCCACACCCCAGGAGAAGAGAGGATATGGGAGGGGGTGGAGGAAGGCCACAGGTGGAGTGGGGAATAGGAGGAACTGCCTTCAACCATTGTTCTCACTGGAAACCAAGCTTACAAGGTCATGAGCTCCAAGCAAAATGGAGGTGTGAGGCTGATTACGACTCCACACTGCTAAGAACAGTGCCAACAGGACCCCTGTACAGGGGTTGCTTATGGGACTTGCCAGTGAGACCAGGTACAGGGTCAGCTCATTAGGGCAGGGCCGGGCCTAGGATTTCCTGCTTCTGCAGCTGGGAACTTAACCTCTCCTCACTTTACAGGGCATAGTGGGCAACAGGCAGTGAGACAGAATCTTGGTGCCTTTTCAGGTGTCCTGTCTTCCCTTCTGAGCATCCATCTCCTTTTCAGATGTTAGCACAGCCCACCATCTCTAGGACTAAGCCCCAGGTTCCCCGAACTCTGGCCTGTGACCCTGACCCTCATCTGCTTCTGCCTGAGGACTTCACAGGCTCCAGGGCCAGGTCTAGTCTTGTCTCTGAAGCTGGTGAGTACTTGGGACCTCACCAGGCAGCACTTAGCCCACTTCTACAACTAGGACTTGATGTTTATCCTGGTTGCAGAGGGAAAATGGTCAAACTGTTTCTGTTGTTACTACAGGCCACACAGACCTTGAGGCTGAGCTGGAAGGGATCCAGCAGCAATTACAGCACTACCAGACCACCAGGCAGAATCTCTGGTGAGGCCTCAGAAGGCTGGAGGCTCCATTTCCCTGGGGCTGGTTTACCTACAGTGGGAATGAGGTGTGGTGTGCTGTAAGGAGCGTCCTTCTCCAGTGTGACATTTTTGGGCCTTCCTGGAAGGACCAAGTTTGCCTCTCTTGGGGGTGGGAGGATGACAACACTTGTAAACAAGACTTACACCTTAATTAGGTCTTCTTGTCTACCTAGTGACTGTGAGTCTTAACACACGAGGATACGCCTATGCCCCAGTAGTTTGAAAACCTCAGTATAGCAGTAGCCTCAGGGATCTCGGGCATAGGCTGCTGCTCATTCTCTGCTCTGCAAAGAGAAGGGGTGTTTTCACCAGGGCCCACCTATTCACTGGTGAAGATGGGAGGAGGCTGAGGGACAAATAAGTGTTGGCCTCCCAACCCAAGTTCTACCACTCAGGGCAAGGGGCCTTCCACGCCTGTCTCCACCCCCTCTCTCTGCATGACAATTAGCTGCTTTGCTTCTCCCTGAGCTCAGAGATTGCCTTAAGGCTCTGCCAAGAACCCAACCTGGCAGGCAGCAGATGTCCCCATCCTCAGGTCCTGCCAGCGACAAGCAAGCAGCCTACGAAAGTGGCTGGAGCTGAACCAGGAGGAGCCCAGGGCTGAGGACCATGATGCAGAGCAGCAGATACAGAAAGAGCTGGAGGAGGTAAGACGCCAAGCTAATCCCAAGGACAGTTTTTCAGGCTGTCTATCCTCTCAGTTCAGCCTGTCCCTCTCATGCCCTCAGGTGGAACTGCAGATTCAGCAGCTGTCCGGGGAGCTTCAGGCCCAGCGCCAGCCCATCCGTTCCTGCATAGCGCGCATCCAGGTCTTGCAGCAGGCTTTGCGCTAGTGGGCTCACCCCAGGGAGACAAGTGCTGTGGTTGCAGGGTAGGCTTCAGGCCATCTCCAGGAACATAAAACAATGCTAGCATGAGTTTTATGGGGTTTTTATTTCAAAATGTCTTGCAATTAAATGAATTACTGTTCAGAAGTCTCCTGCTTTTCGTACAAAAATACTGTGCTACTGATACAGTTGAAAAAGTTCAATGACTTCTCCTGCAGGAGAAACTCACATTCCCAGGATCAACATAAAACCCAGCCTTGTCCCCAGCAGTAGGCTCCCCAAGGGCTGCCTACCTGTGACAGGTTTTCTAGGCACTGACCCACCATTTAGGCCCAGCAGCTGTTGCTGTGTTGAAAGCAAAAAGAGTCTTAAGCAGCAATTTCCATTACTCCTTACAGAGCTGGATCTGGGGAGGGAACACCAGCCCTCACACCCTGGTCCTGAACTAGGCCCCCACTTTTTGCCTGATGTGTTCATTCTGGCTGCCGACAGTAAATGGTCTTGCCTGCTGCAAAGAGGACTCAGCCAGCTGTGGAAGGTCACCCTCAGAGCCTGTAAAGGTCCACATCATTAGTCACCACCCTCAGAAAACAATGGCAAAGTCCAAGGCAATGCATTTAGCCCAAGATGCAAAGAAGATTCTGCTTTTCCAACAAGCAGGGTGAGGAAATATGGAAACAAAAGGCCTCATGCGGCCTACTCTGAGGAGTGGGTGGGTCCAGTCTTTACCAGGGAAATGCCTTCCCTGGGGAGGACAAAAGGAAAGGCCAGAAAAAGCACAGGGGCTGACGGGAGGAATAGCTACAGGGCACTTTAGCACTTACCATCTTCAAGCAACATCCAAAATCAACTGAACACCCAGCCAGGAGATGTGGGGGTCTCCAGTTTATGCAATGTTAAAAAAAAAGATCCACAAGTGACTCAGATCATCTCCACTGACAGTTTCACTGTAGAGTGGGCCTAGAGCATAACATGGGCTCTGGCTGCCTTGTGAAAAGGATCCAGAACTTTGTCTGCACCTCTGCTCAGATCATTCAAGTCCTACCAAGTTGATACCCCATGGCCCTTGGTGCTCACCTGGACACCTTTGGGCCTAAAAGACCCTCAGTTCCAGTGTAAAAAGATTCCCTCACAGCCATAGCCAGGAAGAGGCCTTAGAGGGAACCTAGAGCCTCTCCAAAGCGAATCTTCTGCCCTGCTTTCAACCTGAAATTGAAGTCCTTGGGGGCCTCGAAGATGAGCACAATAGTGGAGCCTAGGTTGAACTCGCCCAGGTGTTCCCCCTTGCGCATAGGCACGCCCTCCTTGTTGGCATGTGTCACAAAGCTGAAGTCATTGTAGGAACCCTTGCTGTACCTTGGACTATTGGTGTGCAGGTCCTGGGGGTGGAGAATGAGCAGAAGTTAGAAGTGGCCTAGACTGGGGAATGCCGTCCCTACCTGCACTGTCCCCATTCCCTACCCCCATCTCCCAGCTCACAGTGAGTGGTGGGACAGCAACTCAGGGTCTGAAAGCTTAGTCTAACCTAAAGTCCCAACACTTGCTGTAAATCAAGCTCAGGAAGAGAATTCAGACCCACTGTTCCACACAAATGGTATAAGGCCAGCACCCTCAGCAGCCAGTCACAGATGACACCCAAAAGGCACCAGATTCCCAATGTGTGCAAGCCAGCTTTAGGCAAGTAGCACTTGCTCACATACTCTGGCCTCCAGTCTGCTGGACCCACCCCAAGTTCAGTACTCTTCTACTCTTGCCTCTGACCACAGCTTCTGGCAGAGGAAGATGCCAGGCAGAGAAGTTAAATTCTTAGCTACCTCCAGACAAGTGAGTGGCAAAGAAGGGAAGCCTTAGCTGGCAGAGCACCCACCAGAGCAGCAGGCTAAGTACAGCCAGGTTTTGCCAGGGTAGAGGCCTTTAAGAGCAGCTACACAGCAGATGGGACAGGAAGACCCAAGAAACCAGCCCCAGGACTTTCGTGTGGCCTGAGTTCTGCTTACCTGGTCAAAGTAGATACGAATAGAGCCCACATTGGTGGCCCCCACAGCTGTTAAAGAGAAGAAGCCATGTTTCCAGTCCCCTGTCAGGACTACCCGTTCATTGTGGCAGAAAAGCTCTTTGATCCAACGGGCCATGCCAGGGTTCACGGACATCAAGGAGCCTATGGGAGCAAGAAACATGCCCTTTGCTGTCTAGAGCCATGAAGACTCATGACTCCAAGGGGTTCATGACCTGTTGCCTCAGTGTCAGTCAAATACAGAGCTCCCAGCCTAAAGCAGTCAAATGCTGGCCTCAACCACTCCAGGCTGGAACCTCATCATGACACTGAAAAGCTGAGGCCTTTATGTGAAGTTCATGGGGACAGCTCCCACTTGAAAGCCAGCCCTGGCCCTACCTGGGAAGTGGCGCCTGTGGGAGACAGTCCAATCAGTGGGGGAGTGGAAACAGTGGTAGTCCCCAGGGGCCAGGTAGATGACACAGTGGTAGAGCTCATTCCCTTCCTGGGTGACTAGCTGGTTTCTGAAGGAGTCACATGAGGAGGCTGTAAGGTAAGGTACAGCAGAAAAGAAAATCAAGCTCTCAGTGCAGCTCTAAGTGCTCGCCAGCCCATGTGACATCGTGAACATCCAGCATGGAGCCCGAACAGCTACTGTGGAAGGCCCCAAGGCTTTTAAGTGATTCCCAATCCCACCACCCCAGAATGCCAGCCTGCCACCCAATAATCTCCTGGTCTTTCCTCCCTTCCTGTCCCACTCCCTTCCTCAGCCTTTGGTATCAGCACCAGCCCTAGCCCTGACCAAGCAATGACCCACCTGGGGGCAAGGGCAGGTCCTCCATGTAGGTTCGAGGGCCCAGGAATGATTCCAACGAGTAGGTGACCCCCTTCACTTGCTCGACCTCACAGTTCTTCACCTGCCCAAAGTTGAGGATCCTCCCATCTGACGGGCTGATCTGGAAGAGCCAGAGAGACTTGTTATCAAGGCAAGTCTTCCCTCTAGTGACCCTCACCTTATCCTCCAAGCACCCAGGGCTCCACAACCCTGGACGGTGTGAGGGTCAGCTTTGCAGAGTCGCCCATAGGGGCTACATATAATCGGGGCTGCTGGGCTTTGGTTCACATACAGGGAAAACTGCCATTTCCAGAGGATGCAAGAGATGGGCCTCACCACACTGTGCAGGCCACAGACAGGCCGGGCCTGTGGCTTCAGCTTGCGCCGGAAGAACTCGCTGAGATTTCGGTAGTGGTGCAGGTCCTCCACAGCAGCCTCCTTCATGTTCACCCCAAAGGTCCAGATGTAAAGGCTGTAGACAGGCCGGCGTAGCCAGTGCGGCAGCTCCACCTGGTTGAGGCGACCCCAGGCCCGTGACAGCAAACGTGTTGGCACTGACTTGTACAGGGCCACCTGTAGGTTACAAGGCAAGGAATTGAGCTGACTAGGCTCCAAAGAGTCATGAGTATAGGTGGCAGCCTATCCCATCCTCCACCTCAGGAAAGAAACAGCCAAAAGGAGCAACCCAGGAGGCCTTGGGGCCCCAAGCTGCTTTTGTGATGTGGTGGTTTCTCACTAGGAACCAGACTGCACTTGGTGAACATTCTCGTATCCTGAGGATTACATGTTAACACAAAACAGGTAATTTTATTCATTTTACACAAAAGTCAAAGAACAACTGCACTAGTACCAGTAGGGGGGATGGGCCAAACAGTGTTAACTGCCTGAAGACAGGAGATGCCAGGTATGATGGTGCACACCTTAATCTCAGTACTTGGAGGCTGAGGCAGGAAGATCATTCCAAGTTTAAGGCTAGGCTGGACTATTAAGTAAATTCAAGCCCAGCTTGAACTATAAGTAAGTTCAAGGCCAGCCTACTCTGCACTGAAAGCCTGCATCAAAAAGCCAAAAGGACAGAAAAGGAAAAAAAAAGGAAGGAAAAGAAAGTAGGACATCATAAATGGACCTGATAAAGGTCTGAGACAGGAGAGTAGGCATGCTGCCCTTGGTCTGGATCGCTCATATCCCAAACCACTAGAGCAGGAGGCTCCTAGGAGCATGGGACAGGTCTGTCTACAGTCCAAAGTGGACATCATCCTTTCTTCAAAGAAACAGGTGGGCACTTAGACGTAGATCTACTACACCCATGTCTTCCAAGCCCAAGATGCCTTGTGTCACCCTTGCCAGCATTAGAGGGCTGACATCAAGAAGCCTGTAAAGACAAGAAACATGCCACTTGCTGTCTAGAGCTGCTCTATGATGGCCTAAGAAGAACTAGCAGGGCTCATGGCCCCTGCCTGTTATTCTCAGTGCTAGTCCAAATACAGAGCTCCCTGGTCCAGTCAACCTAAAACAGTCAACTCCCGGTTGCAATCAGCCCTGGCTGGAGCCTGGTCTCCTGATACCAAGAAGCTGAGACCTCTGGTGAAGCCCATGGAGATCACTCCCATTTGGAGGTCCCACAGTGGGCCTGGCACTTAGGTACACCCTGTACCTGAGTCAGTAAATGAAGCAGTTGGCACCTAGGGCTCTTCCTGGAGACGAGAAAAATTGCTTACAGCACCTGGAGATGGGCACCAGTCCTACTTGTGGGAGCTCTTATGAAGAGCTGGGCATCAGATGGCACTGCCTGGTGGGAACTGCCTTGGACTGGTGCTGCTGTTTGCAACCAACTCCAAGCTGAACAAGTCATTTCATAACTTTCAGTATCACTGAGATACTGAGTTAGTGGCTCAGAGTACTGTTCTTATATCTTCCAACTGATGCCAACCACCTGAAGTGGCCAGGCCTTCTGTGGGACCCTAAGGCAGTGAGGCAAACCTTTTAGAACTCTCACAGTGATAACAGATGGCTGCAGCACTCATGCCATAGGATTGTCACCACTAGGCCCTAGGCCATGGTTGGCAACCAGCTACCATCTGCTTTAATGTCCAGTACGCACCAGTGTCCTTAAGTGCTTGTGATACCCATCCAGACCCTAAGGGCCCAGAAGCAGGGTTTTCAACTTGGGGTCTAGCTGCCTGGGAGCTGAGGGCAAGAGAACCCTCCAGGGACTTCTTGTTGTTAATTGGATCCTTCCCAGGTTAAGCACCTTTGCAGTCTTCTAGTTCCTCAAGGACCTAGTTCCTAATGGTCCCATTCCTGTACTCCTCCCTGACATCCAGGAATTTGGATGCTTCTCAAAATTGCCTCTAAGTTCTCTTCTGTCTGAATGTTGAAAGTCACCATTTTCTGACTGCCCAGTCTAAGTTCTTTCCAGAAGCAGAGCCTCCAGTGACACCTGTGAAGGAGGCAAGGAGCAAACAAGGGATACTGAATACTCAGTGCACATGGACACCAATGAACCTGGCTTCAAAAACTCTCTTAGCCTTCCCAAGCACTGATACCTCCTCAGCAAACATCCATCGGTGAAGCCACTAATTCTACTTCTGACAACATGTCCCTTTCTTGGTCTCTCCTGTGCCCTACCCCTCAGGGCTGCCTAGGGCAGGGCTGGGGCTACTGAGTCTATATGTACACTTACCCTGCTTACAGGCCGCCATCCCACACGGCTGAGTGGCCTGAGGGCACCAAAGGGCAGGAGGTAGTAGAGAACAGTCAGGGGCCAGGAGCGCAGTTTCAGGGCAGGTCTGGACATACAGCTCAGCTGGCCCAGCCTCCGCCGCAGGGCCAGCTGGGGAAAGTGCAACCTGTAGGGCATAAGCCAAGGTCAGGGGCTGGGGTCTTAACAGGGACCCAGAAGCACCCCATCTTGACCACTGCCATTCCAGTCCCCACCCTCAACAAGCTGCCTCCAGTGGAGTAATGGAAGCTAGTTAAGGGCATAAGCACCATGTCCCAGTCCGTATGAGTAAAGGACCTGGCTGCCTCTCTGGCTGACTCATGTCCTAGTCTCTCCTACCTGCCACTTACTTGAGGAGAACTGGGAATGGGGGCAGCAGGACAGAGAAGTTTAGGTGCAACTCTTAGGCACTTTAAAGACAGAGCCCTTGCAAGAGCCTCAAGGTTCCAGGACAAGAAAAATAAGGTGGACAGCCTGCCTCATACCCTCAGCTTCCCATGGCCAGAGTGAGCATAAAGGACAGCTCTGCCACACAGGTACCAGGACCTGAGTCCAAACAGCACAGCTGTGCACAGTACCATGGTGCTATGACCTGCTCAGCTAGGCGACTGAAGCTGAAGCCACACACATGACCCCAGGCTTCTCTTTTCAACAATGGAAGTGATCCTCTACCCAACTCCACCAGCACAAACCTGAGACATTCAACACAGCCTCAGGTTCCTAGAATTGGAAAAGCTGGGCCCCTGAGCAGAAACAAAGTCCCCTTGTCACATGCTTCAAAAATCCTCCTGAGGCCTCAGTGTACTCATCAGAATATGTTGCCACCCACTCAAAGAATGCCCTCTGGCCTCACTTTTCTCATCAATGACCACATTCAACTGGACAGTAAGCTGTCACCAGCACCTGCACTCTCAACAGAAGCTGAGCCCTTTGCTCTCCAAGTGCTGGGCAAACCAAGGAACAAAGGGGCATCTTGGCGGAGCATTAACAGCTAAACAAATGAAGAGCTGAGCCACCAGCACCCGGAGACAGGAGATGCAAAGGCAGGCAGGGTTCTGCTCTGCAGGAGGCTGCATCCCTACAGCTCACCAGATGCCCTGTTTCTCTTGTTTCTCCCATTCCATCTATTATGTTTTGAAAAGGTCTGGGGAGGTGGCAGGGGCCAAGCAAAGACAAATCACTGCTGTCCCTCAGGGGCTTCCCTGCCCTGCTTACTGCAGAATAGCAGACCAATCCTTAGAATAGCAGACCAATGCGTAGAAGAGTCACAGGGAGCCCCACTTCTAGGTTGCCTGACAGGTCTGCAGGGGGAGAAATTCCATCTAAGGGCCAAGAGAGTAGTTCAAAAGCCTGGGGCCACCTCCCCCCACTAATCCCTCCTTGGGGCTTAAATACCTGAAGTGGGCTTTCTTACTGAGAGCATTTAGGCCGCCCTGCCAGGCCCTTCCAGCCGCGGGGGCTGACTCCCAGGTCCCCCACTGCTACCTCCACTTCGAGGCCGGTGAACATGAACTCTGACCTTCCGGAGATTGTGGCGGGCACAGTAGGGGTAGGACGAGGCGGGCAGCATCTCACCATTTCGCTGCTGCTTGGAGCTCTGGTCCTTGCCGTGCCTCTGACTGACACATTGTGGGCAGGCACAGGGAGGCGGTGCAAAAGCTCCTGCGCTCTCGCTCACTCGCCTTTTGTTTTTCCTTCCTTTCTCCCCTTCCCCCCTTGCTGGAGGATTTCCTGTGCTGTCACTTCTCAAGGGGTGCTGATGGCTGGTGGCGCTGCTTCCCGGCTTGGCTCAGTCTTGGTCACTCACAGGACACAAGTTAGGATGGTGAGGGCTATTGTAAACAGACAGGTACTGGTCACACACTTGCTCAGCCTCCAGCTCAAGTCACCTATTCAGACTTGCAACCCACGGCAGAAGCTGCTACACTCAGCCCATTCTGCTTGGCAACCTGCCTGATCCCTGCTGCCCAAGGCTGAGCTACAGTGCCCAGCTCACCCACACCCTTAACTGGGATGGAAAGGCAAAAGGTGGAGGAACCCTGGGGCCACATACTCTAGAGACCTAGGGGAGGGAAGAGAACCAGACATTGCCAGGGCTTCTGGGCGCCACTGGGCTCTAAAAGAACAAGGTGGGAATCTGAGCCCTTTGCTCCAGGCTAGTGGCTCCTCCCTCACCAGGACCTGACCCATTTTCAATTCAGGTTACAAAGGACTATCTGAAGAATGAAAGTAGCAGGCTGCCAAACAAGGTACCTTGGTTAAAACCTGGGCATCAGGTCTGTTCCAGCTCTCTTCTAGCTGCCCCCCCCCACCACCCCCATACCTCTGACCCTATTGGGGCCTCCTCAGAAGCTGTGCACCTGGGTGGCCTCGGGAAAAATCCAGCCTGGCCCTGGGAGGAGGCCACACCATTCTGCTCTGCTTTTTTCATCTCTGCTTCCGAAAAACACTGGCTAGCTCCTCCTTGGCTATCTACCTGCAGGAACCACCTTGCCCCGATAAGGTCTTCCCACTGCATAAATAACAGAGGTAGAAGAGCAAATATTCCACAGCTGTTGCTGTCTCAGTCCAGGGCAGTCAAGGTGGTGAAGGGTGGCGGGGTAAGGTGGGCTGACACAGGTAAGGAGGAAGGATGTGGGCTGCTGACATAGCTGGCTGACTTGTGAGCTCACTCCACCCAGCCTCCAACTTCAACCAGGGTCTGGGAATGGAACAGGTACATGTCGCTATAAAATGTGGGCCCCAAGAGCTACTAGCTAAGGCAGAGACTGGATCACGGAAGGACCAGCTAATACCACTAACACACTGTGACAGAGCAAGAGGCCTCAACTTTGACAACACTCTAGCCACACAGTGATCTGCAAGTCAGGTTACTCCATTCTGCCTAAGTATGGAGCTCACTATCTTCTCTGGCTCCCCAGGCTCCCCAGTGGCCAGGGAAACAGCCCCAGGGGATGCTGAGTGGTCAGGGTAAGCCTGGTGCCTGGCTCCACAGAAAGAGGCTCTTTCTCTGCTCTAAAATGCATAGGCTGGGGGCAGTGGAGCTGAGTTCACACCAGGATTCTCGGGGAGACAAGGATGGCCTTGTGGAGTGGGAGGGGAGGAGGGGACCCTATGACCCCCAGCCTCCACCAAGTTTTCTTTACAGTCCTGCCATGTGGGACACTATAATGGCACTGAATGTGTCAGGCAGGAGCCCACAAAACTGACCAAAAGCTTGGTCAAAACGTACAGGTTCTCAAAGGAGACACCTGTGGGAACTCGCATTTCATTCTCCCAGGTCCTGCCTGTCTACGTGAGGCCCTGCTGAAGCCCAGAGGCCTCTGATACCAGGGATTTGGTAGGCTAGATGGCCCTCCAGGATGCAAAGGCCAGGACTCCTCCTGTCCTTACAGAGGAAGCTCAATGGAACCAGCTCAAGGTCTTACCAAGAGAGATGGCAATAACTGCCCTGAGGAGCTGGGTCACCCAACTGAACTTGACCACAGGGAAAGCAGGAACAGGCACAAGTCCTTGTCATTATCATTCTCTCTCTTCTAAAGTGGGACACTGAGAACAAGATATCAAAGAATTCCTCCCAAACACCATCCACAGGTCCTGTAGGGTGGGCAGTAGCCCAGAGCTGCAGAAGGAAGCAAAGGTGCCCCTAACAGTCTGCCTCATCTTCCACGCAGAGCTGCTGCTTTGCTAGCTGTGCTTCCAGCCTCTCCATACAGGTTCCACTTGCCAATTACCTGTGACAGCCTTGGGCTCAAAACCAGAGATTTTACCCTACTCAGGCCACCTACTCAGGCCTGAATGAGGAACATGCAAAGAGGGAGGCCTGGGGTTGAGTGCAGTGGGGATGCTGATGTCTTCCTTTCCTGCAGAGAGCCAAGCATATTCTGGGAAGGCAAGTTTCTACGACATGGGCCTTTAAAGCTGTTTATGACCTTGGGCCCTTGGAATACAAAACTCAACTTTGTGGTGGGCAACCATTTCTGGCTGCCCTGCTTCACCCCCACCCCTCCTTCACCCCTGGAAAGGATAAGCAAGTCACAGGTGCTCTCTGGGTCTCAGTTTCGTCATCAGGGAAATTTCTCCTGCTCACTTCCCTTGAGGGTCAGACCAAAGCTGCCCAGAAACCCTCATTTCCACCTCAGTTCCCAATGCCTCATCTCACTTTCCAGAAGAGTAAATCCATACTCTGAGAGGGCAGAGGTTTCCTGCCTCTGAGAAGAAGAAAAGTAGGGGATTAGCATGAGTTCTGAAAGGGTTGCCCAAACCACAGGACAGCACTGCTCCTATAAATAGGAAGCAATGGCTGATGCGACCACATGTGGATGAGAACTGACTCTCAGCACATGCTACCTGGTGACTCATATCACAACAGCACAGCACTGTCCCCATCGTCCCCCAGTGGGACTCCCACAGTGGAATGGAGCACTGTAGCTGGAGCTGAGTGAATGCACCAGACTATGACCATTACTATGTCCTATACTTGCATGGGTGACAGCATGCGGGCATCGGGAGGTGTGGGCAGTGTGCAGGGGGATGTACACAGGCTCTGTTCTTGACCTGATTAGCTCTGACAAGGGTGGATTCCAGTTTGAGACCAAAGATGAAATAGCAGGTAGTGAGAGGAATAGTACTGCCAGGTCATATCCTCCCCCTCCCCACAAAGCTTTCCCTGACCACGCAGATCCTTGTAGTTCTACCTATCCAGCCACAGATATCCAAGATCTGACTCCTGCCACCTACTATAAATCTTCCTGAGTTCCAAGGTCGCTCCCTCTAAGGTGTAGGCACAAGCTTCTGGTGCCCTGGATCAAATGTCTACTACCACCTCCCACACACTCCCTCACCTCACTCTAGTGGGCCAGGATCACTCCCCTCTACAGCCAGGACCACCCAGCAAGACCAACCCCTCCTCCCTTATGTTCCCAGGGCTAAGAATGGATAAAACTTCACAAATAGGGGACCAAAAAATGAACTCTTTCTTGGCAAAATGGTTGAGTCATCTTGGTACTTTGTGGGTAAGGGGCCACAGAGAAGGACTCATCAAATCAGTGGCCTAGGATAGGGCTCTACTGAGCCCTCAGTCTCCCAAAGAAAAGGATGCTCTGGCACCTGTAGGAAACACTACAAAGAAGCTATGTGTTACCTGCACTCCAGCCCTCAGGTGGTGACATGGTGGGAGACAAGTCTGGACACCTATGGGCCTCCTGATGGAGAGGGATACTTCCGTGTCTCTGCGGTGACAGGTCCCTAAGACCTTGACGCAGCACTGAGAAAAGGCTCACTAGGGAACCCAGGGCAGCAGGCTGTGTGAGGACAGCGCTTCCCGGTATTGGCCTCACTTCCCGCCACCGTGGCTGCAAGCAGAGGATGTTACAGAACGGGGAGGAAGTGAGCTCATGTGGCCTGGGTCCTGTGATCAGACAGGGACAGAAGGCCACAATTTAATCAACACTATCCAAATAGGTGCGTCAGGCCCAGGGGGCCAACCGGCAGCCACGAAAAGTGCTAGAAAGGCACTCCCACCAGAATCAAACGCAGTCCCCGAGCTGGCTAGGGCACAGCGGGGCAGGGCACCTCCCTGCGAAACTGCCCACTACTGTAAGTCACCTGTGGCTCCCAGGGATTCACTCTCTGGCAGAAGGGTCCTGCTCCGGCTTGCTTCCGGATTCTGGTCTCTAACCCGTCTGGGTCAGGCTCCCAAAAGCTCAGGGGTGGTGGGTGCTCCGGTTCCAGCCACTAGGGCTGTGGGGGCGGAGGCAGGAGGAGTGACACCAGACACCGTTAAAGCAGTTAAAGCCACAGCTGCTTGTGAGCTCTTAGCCAGGACTGGGGCGCCCCAGGGCTCCTTTAAGAGGAGGAGCCACTGGGGAAGAAGGGAAATAGGCGGGCAGGGGCCCAGCCCTACCCAGTCAAGTCAGGGCAACGCCCCGCCCCGCAAAAGGCGCTGTCCCACAAGCTTCAGCAGAGCAGGGCGGGCCGGCCACCCCCTCAGAAGCCGGCGTAAGGCTGGGGGACCCGTCCTCAGCCCCTGAATGGTTTCGGCAGCTACCGCCTCCCTCACACTTCCTCCCTCCCAGTTAGTCAGCAGTCCCTCGTGCCGCTGACTTCACGGAGGGCTGGCCTCACGGGACTAAGCAAAAAGCCACCTCTAGCAACCCTTTCTAATCCTGAAGGCGCCTCACGTGTGAAAGTACTTGCTTCTCCCACCCTCTCCCCTGTCCTCCAGGCTGGCCTACTGTGACAGACAAAAGCTCAGACACAAAAAGATTTGTGGAGCAAGCAAACAGCGCCGTAGAACAGTGTTAAACAGGTTCCACCTGCAGCTCCGAAACACTGTGGGGGCGCACACCCGTGATCCCAGTCTGTGCAGACTGAAGAATCTCTGTGAGTTTGAGGTCAGCCTGTGCTACACTGTGAGTTCAGGGCCAGCCTGAACTACAGTGAGCCCTTGTCTCAAAACAAAACAAAACAAAACAAAACAAAACAAAACAAAACAAAACAAAACAAAACAGCCTGCCTGGGGCAAGGTCCTGAATTCAATTTCCAATGGGGGGGGGTGCGAGTCCCTCATTCACCACTTGCCACTTCCTCCTTGCTGGGCTTCTGGAGTGGCTGGTGTGCTCAATTGGGGTGGACCTGGTACCTCTTTTGTGAAGCAGCAGCTGAGAAGACTGGGGACCCTCTAAGCCTCACAAAAAGCCCAAAGGAGTCCAGGCTGAGAACAATCATTATATTAATTTGAAGGTGGTGGATGGTACTATGGTGCAGGGTAAGAGGCACCCACCACTTAGTAAACAAACGAAAGCCTCCAGTGCACAGCAGTGTTTGTTGC